TGTTTCTCCTCCTGTGTGTCTATGTGTTTCCTCTTGTGTTTATATGTGTTTTTCTCCTCTTGGGATCGACGATTCATTGTGTCTATGTGTTTTTCTTCTCCTTGCCATTGCTGCACTCGCCAGTCAAGCTCGCTGCGCACCGGCCCCGGCGCCTGCCCGCTAGTTGCGGTGGGGGGGCGGCAAGGCCCCCCTCCTCCCCCCCTTCCCTCCTCCCCCCCTCCTCCTCCTCCCCTCCTCCTCCTCCTCCTCCTCCTCCTCCCTCCTCCTCCTCCTCCTCCTCCTCCTCCTCCTCCTCCCTCCCCTCCTCCTCCTCCTCCTCTTCCTTCCCCTCCTCCCCCTCCTTCTCCTTCTCCTCCTCCTCCTCCTCGTCCTCCTCCTCCATCTCCTCCTCCTCCTCCTCCTCCTCCTCCTCCTCCTCCTCCTCCTCCTCCTCCCCCTCCTCCGCCATCTCCTCCCCCTCCTCCCCCTCCTCCCCCTCCTCCTCGCTCCTCCTCCTCATCCATCTTCTCCCCTCCTCCCCTTCCCGCTCCCCCTCCTCCTCCTCCTCCTCCTCCTCCTCCTCCTCCTCCTCCTCCCCTCCGCGCTCGTCCTCCTCCTCCTCCTGGGGGGCCGGCCCGAACCAGACTCGAGGCGGAAGTCTTGTATAGCTCTCGGGCGCTCGGGCCCCTTTGCTGCGCCTCTCCCTCCTTCTCCTCCTCCTCCTCCTCCTCCTCGTCCTCCTCCTCCATTTCCTCCCCTCCTCCTCCTCCTCCTCCTCCTTCTCTCCTCCTCTCTCCTCACCCTCCTCCCCCTCCTTCTCCTCCTCCTCCTCCTCATCCTCCTCGTCCTCCTCCTCCATCTCCCTCCTTCCTCCTCCTCCTCCTCCCTCCTCCTCCTCCTCCTCCTCCTCCTCCTCCCCCTCCTCCTCCATCTCCTCCCCCTCCTCCCCCTCCTCCCTCTCCTCCTCCTCGCTCATCCTCCTCATCCATCTTCTCCTCCTCCTCCCCCTCCCCCTCCTCCTCTTCCTCCTCCTCCTCCTCCTTCTCCTCCTCCTCCTCCTCCTCCTCCTCCTCCTCGCTCGTCCTCCTCCTCCTCCTCCTGGGGGGCCGGCCCGACCAGACTCCAGGCGGAAGTCTTGTATAGCTCTCGGGCGTTCGGGGCCCCTTTGCTGCGCCTCAGGCCCTTCACAAACGACTCGGGCTGAAGAGCTGGTCTCGGGGGAAGTTGACTACCTACCAGACCTTAGGGGGCCCTGGAAACGACAGGGCCGTTTTTCTACCGGTTCCGTTCTGCCGTTTTTTTGCCGGTTCCGTCGCCGTGTTTTGACTGGTTCCGGCTCCGGTTCCAATCCTGGAGGCTTTTTTTTTGCCGTTTCCAAGAAAATGTCTCTTGAAAATGGAAGCGGCAAAAAAACGGCCCTGCCGTTTCCAGGGCCCACAAAGTACCAGACCACCCCGACCCAACCCGAAGACCCGAGTTTCGGGTTGGGGGGGGGTACGGGCTCCATGCACGTTTTCGCAGCGTTCCCCGACACCCCCCTCACTGGACATGGAGGGCAAATTGAGGCCTTCGGGTTGGGTTTGGATGGCTTGATGGGTGGTGAGAAGTGGTCGAGCGGTCGGCGGCCCGTGTCACGAGAAAATCAAAACGCTAGACGCCTGGGCATCGCCGATGGATCGTCGACTGGCGGCCCACAGCGAAACCACACGCTTCCTGTTCGGGGAGGGCTATCAAGCCCCTTCGGCGATGAATGGGATCGGGGGTCGATGCGCTTCACCCCGAGCCCGTCCCCCGGTGGTTTTCGGACCATAACTCGGGACTCCGACGTCCGTCCGGGATGATCCAGGCACCCCTGGAACGCCATCGACTAGGCGCAGAGAATGAATGAAAGCCACCCCGGACCTCGAAACGCTTCGAAAACTTACGACCCCCCCCCGCCTGAGCATACCTAGACATCTAGTGCCTCGAGCATCGAGGGCATCGAAGACTCCGCCCGCCCCCCTGGCAGACCCAGCACGCCTGGACCACACCTGGCATCGAGACGCGCACCCCTGGCCTCCCGACCGCTTCCCCAAGACCGGGTTCTCATGCCGACCCGTTGTTTGACGGCCCCGAGGACCAGTACCCATCGGTCGGAAGAAGTAGGTAGAAACATGAAGTAGGAAGGCGTTGGGAATACATTGGGCTTCCGCCCGCCTCCTGAAGAGGAAGGAAGAGGGAAAACCACTCGACTCTTGAAGTAGGAAGGCGCTGAAAGTAGATTGGAATCTGGGAATACAAAAATACCTACTTTGAACGACCGATGGGTAAGGGCCCCGAGAGGCCCAGAGGCCGAAAACTATGAGACACCGCCGCCCCAATACGGACTCGGAGTGGAGGTCTCTTACAGTTTCTGGCCTCGCCTCTTAGGGCTACTGGCACACCTGATATACGATACCACTTTAATAGACGTCCTCCTCCTCCTCCTCCTCCTCCTCCTCCTCCTTCTCCTCCTCCTCCTCCTCTTCCGCCTCCTCCTCCTCCTCCTCCTCCTCCTCCGCCTCCTCCTCCTCCTCCTCCGCCTCCTCCTCCTCCTCTTCCTCCGCCTCCTCCTCCTCCTCCTCCGATCCCGTCGGGGCGTTGACCCAAGGAACCCTAGATAAGGAACGAGGCCCCTCTTTCCCACAAGTTCAACCTCGATTTCCGATTGAAAGCCGCAGGAAAACCCGAGGCAAGCTGTGAAACAATCAAGGAACACGGAGCCCCTCCCCAACGAACAGGGTTCCTTCTTCAGGGCCCCGACTGTACCACTTTGATAGACGTGTGCATCAATCCTTCTCTTGCATGCGCGTTTCACTGTGTCTCACGCCCTCCGTCTCCGCTCGCGGAGCGAGGAGCCTCCGCGGGCTCCTCGAGTCCGTACTTGACCCTGACCTTCAAGCCCAGACCCCTTCGGGTCGTGAAACAATCACGACGGACAGTCTTCACTGATCTGGGCCCCTGCGGGGCCCCTACCGAGGGCTCGGGACCGTCAGACAGCGACTCGGGACGAACAACTGGTGCTGGAGGGAGGAGTCGAGACCTCTAGGGGTCGACGCTATGCAATAACAAATGACGTCTGGGGTCTGGGGAATCGCCAAGAACCTTGTCTGATGGGCCAGTCTTCCACCACCACTACCATAGGTAGGAGGGGTAGGAGGAGGAAGAGGAGGAGTAGGAGGAGAAGGATGAGAAGGAGGAGGAGGAGGGGAGGAGCGGGAGGAGAAGGGGGAGGAGGAGGAGGAGGAGGAGGAGGAGGAGGAGGAGGAGGAGGAGGAGGAGGAGGAGGAGAGAGGAGAAGAGGAGGAGGAGGAGGAGGAGGGGGGGAGGAGGAGGACGAGGAGAAGGAGGAGTAGGAGGAGGACCTCCCGATCCTCCCTTCTCCCCCGTCCTACTTATTGTAGTGGCGGCGGCAGCGAGATGTCTGGGCACCCCACGCCCTGGCGCGCCAACCGCTCGGGAGCCGCGGCGCGCTCGGGAGCTCCGCCGGGCCGGCTCCGCCCGAGGGGGCCCCCTCTACCCCTGGGGAGGCACACGCCCCCATCGCCCCGCCCCAGGAAGGTCGGCGTGGGGGGTCGCCGTGGGGAGGCCTTGTCTTCATGTTCTCCCTCTCCTCCTCCTCCTCCCTCCTCCTCCCTCCACCTCCTCCTCCTCCTCCTCCTCCTCCTCCTCCTCCTCCTCCCCCTCCTCTCCTCCTCCTCCTCCCTCTCTCCCTCCTCCTCCTTCTCCTCCTCCTGCTGCTAGGGGGCTAGGGGTGAGGGGCAGGGCTGAGAGGCCTCGATAACACCCAAGACGGCATCAAGGCGACCCAAGACGCCGAAAGACGACAAGAGGACACAAGAGGGCCTCAGGAGGCACAACAGATTGATTTCCCAAGATGGTGTTCTCGTGTGTTTCTCGTTCTCGTCTTTTCGGGCGCCTGCCAACCCAGAACAGCGCGACAGCGCCCTCGGACTGGGCCAAGACAGCCCGAGAGGTACCCGAGAGGGAAGAGGCCCCCCTCGGGGGGCCTCTCGCCCGACGGCAACACACAACCCTCCGGGGAGTCGAGGGGGCCCAAGAGAGGCCCAAGAGGGGCAACCCGCAGGGACCCCGGGAGCCCTCCCCCACAAGCTGGCACCCAAGAGTCCCAACAAGCCCCCGTACCCCCCGGTAGCCTTGGAACAGCTACACGGGGCCGCCCATCAAGCCTCCAAGAGGCCCCCAAGAGGCCCCGCAACAGACGCGAAGGAAGTGGAGGACGAATCGGCAACAGCGGCCCGAAACCACGACGGGAAGCGGCGAACAACGCACACGAAATCGGAAGCCGCACATCTCCTCCTATGGGGGGCGGCGGAATCACGCAAGCCTTCTGAATCACCTGCTCCACCCTCCTCCTCAAGGACAATAACGAAATCGGCAAGAGCCATTCGAGGTCAAGTGAAATCATGCGGCGACCCCTTGGAACCCCATGGAGTGATCCAAGACTCCCGAATCCTGTGTCATGTTCCTCATTCTCCCCCACCGTCCCTCCTCTCGCATCTCTCCTCGCTCCTCCCCCCATCCTTCCTCCTCGCCAACGGCTGGCAAATCTGTTGTTCGTCGAAGGCGCCTGGCCGATGTAGAAACGGAGGGGGGGACAAGCGGGGAGGCATGCCTCGTAACGGAGGGAGCGGCAACCAGCCACTGCCCGACGCCGCCGACGTCGGCGACGACTGAGACGTCGACCACACTGGCGACACAGACAAACGACGAGGACGACGTCGACGTCGACGACGGCCCCATGACGCCGACGCCGGCGACGCCGACCACGACGCCGTTGACTCAGACGAGGACGACGACCTTGACCTTGGCCTTGGCCATGGCCCTGACCATGACGACGACGCCTTGCTACGACCGCTGGCGAGGACGACGACGACGACGACGACGACGACCTTGACCGTGACCTTGCCCTTAGCCACGACGACGACGACGCCCGACGACGACGCCCAGCGGCAGCACGATTCCCGGCGCAGTGCCGGCGCCTGGGCGTCTGGACGGGCACGCTGAAGTCGCACCCCGCGGGATAGTAGCGCGACTGGCGTGGGCCGGAGCGCCCCCGTACTGCAGGTTCGTATCGTGTCGACCCCGGCGTTGGTTCCCGACACCGCGCTGGATCGTTCACCCTTGAACGATCGGCCGTCTCCGCAACGTCCGATCGTTCAACATCGACCGATTCTGGGCCGCCGTCGGCGTTCAACGTTGAACGTCGGCGGCGGGGTCGCCGCCGGTCGACACGACGCGAACCTACCGTACGGGAGTAGACGAGCGCGTTCCGCTACTTGCAAAGTAACCGCTCGCAGACGGCCTGGATCCGCCGCGTGGGGTCCACGAGAAATGACATCGAAGCAGACACGTGCGTTTCGGACGTCTGCGAGTAGGCACTTTACGAATAGTGGGCCGCGCTCGGTGATGGAGGGAGAGGTCATAGTCGGGCGCGGCCTAACCGACCCCTAGCAAACCATCCCCTTCGGTGACATCATCCTCGCCTTTCGAGATCCCCTTCTGGCCGTCCACATGCGTCTTGGGGCGAGGCGAGGAGGACGTCACGGAAGGGGATGGCTTGCTAGGGGTCAGTTAGGCCGCCCCTAGGAGGAGGAGGAGGAGGAGGAGAAGGAGGAGGAAAAGGAGGAGGAGGAGGAGGAGGAGGAGGAGGGGCACCAAGGATGACATGATGATAAGCCTTCGGAGGTCCGCGCAGACTTCTTGGATCAGCACTTGCCCCTCGCCCTGGCGCACCCCACACGCCAAGGTCGGCGCCGAAGGCGCCGCCAGAGGGCTGGAGCGCGGATCAGGAAATCGTCCCGAACTTCCGAAAGCTTATGTTCATCGACATATTTCTGATTCGAGCAAAAAGTGTCTCAAAAAATCGATCCCCTGGCCCCTCCCTGGGTCAATCTGGAGTAGGTGGTTCCCAACCATCCTGTGGTGTTGGGTCCTCGTTTTAAAGAGACAGCGCCCCGCGTCACTCCTCCTCCTCCCGCTGCCCCCTCCCCCTCCTCCCTCCTCCCATCGACGACATCATCAGATTCGTCACCATGAGCATCATCCCACCCATTTCGGCACACCCCTCACACGGTTCGTGGCCCCATAGGGAGCTCCACCGAAGGCTCCAGTGGCAGGGTCCGCATGCGTCAACGCCACCCAGGACAGCGTTCCGTGGCCGCATAAGGAGCTACACCGAAGGTGTCAGTGGCAGGGCCCGCATGCGTCAACGCCACCCAGGGCAACGTTCCGTGGCCCCATAGGGAGTTCCACCGAAGGCTCCAGTGGCTGGGTCCGCATGCGTCAACGCCACCCAGGACAGCGCTTCGTGGCCCCATCAGGAGCTCCACCGAAGGCGGCAGTGGCGCAGTTCGCATGCGTCTCCCCCACCCAGGACAGCGCTTCGTGGCCCCATAGGGAGCTCCACCGAAGACTCCAGTGGCAAGGTCCGCATGCGTCAACGCCACCCAGGACATTCGTGGCCCCATAGGGAACTTCACGGGAAGCTCCAGCGGCACCGTTCGCATGCGTCTCCCCCACCCAGGACAACGCTTCGTGGCCTCATAGGGAGCTCCACCGAAGGCTCCAGTGGCAGGGTCCGCATGCGTCAACGCCACCCAGGACAGCGTCTCGTAGCTCCACCGAAGGCCGCAGTGGTACCGTTCGCATGCGCCTCCCCCGCCCACGGACAGCGTTTCGTGGCCCCACAAGGAGCCCCACCGAAGGCCCCAGTGGCACCATCCGCATGCGTCTCCCCCACCCACGACAGCGCTTCGTGGCCCCATAGGGAGCTCCACTCCGATGGTCCTAGTGGCGCAGTTCGCATGCGTCTCCCCCACCAAGGACAGCGTTTCGTGGCCCCATATGGAGCTCCACCGAAGGCGGCAGTGGCGCAGTTCGCATGCGTCTCCCCCGCCCATGACAGCGCTTCGTGGCGCCATAAGGAGCTCCAACGAAGGTCCCAATGGCGCATTTCTCATGCGTCTCCCCCCACCCAGGACAACGTTTTGTGGCCACATAGGGAGATCCACAGAAGGCCCCAGTAGCGGTGTCCACATGCGGCCGCGCCACCGATTTCGGCGCACCCCTCGCATCTTTCGTGGCCCTCTAGGGAGCTCCACCGAGAGCGGTACCCACAATGCGGCACTCGCAGCTGCATCTGGTTGGATCCTTCGTCAGGCCAACTTGTCACCCTGGAACCGTTTCTTATGGCCGCGGGGCCCGGAAAACGGCTCTGGAGGCTGAAGCTGCCTCCCGGAGCCTCGAACCTCGAACCTCGCCCCCCCCTTTCTTCCTCCTCCTCCTCCTCCACCTCCTCCTCCTCCTCCTCCACCTCATCCTCCATCCTCCATCCCTCCTCCTCCTCCTCGCCCCCCGCCCCCCGCCAGGGGTGCAACACGGGGGGGGGGGGGGGCAGGGGCGGCGCGCACGGGCGGGCCGTCGCCCTGGTCGCCGCCGCCGCCCCTCCGAGGCTTCTGTTCTCGCGGGCCCCTCCGAGGCCCTCTCGAACCCCCAGCCGGCCCCAAGCTGGAGGAGGCAGCAGTCGAACTCGGAGCTCGGGACCTGGACCGGATCAACTCGGCCGGGGCCGGGGCGGGGCCGCGAGAACGGCCGGCCGCGAGAAAGGCGAGGATGCCCCGCCACAAGAAAGAGCTCCTCCTCCTCCTCCTCCTCCTCCTTTTCCTTCGTCTCCCAGGTCTCCTCCTCCTCCTCCTCCTCCTCCTCCTCCTCCTCCTCCTCCTCCTCCTCTTCCTTCTCCTCATCTTCCTCCTCCTCCTCTTCCACCTCCTCTTTCTCCTCCTCTGTCCCAACTATCCTCTGGTGTTGGGTCCTCGTTTTGCAGAGACAGCGCCCCCATTTCGGCACAACCCTCACACGCTTCGTGGCCCCATAGGGAGCTCCACCGAAGGCCCCAGCGGCTGCGTTCGCATGCGGTGCCACCCCCATTTCGGCCCACCCCTCACACGTCTCACGGCCTCATAGGGAGCTCCGCCGAAGGCCCCAGTGGCTGCGTTCGCATGCGGTTCCACCCCCATTTCGGCACACCTCTCACACGGTTCGTGGCCACATAGGGAGCTCAACCGAAGGCCGCAGCGGTTGCGTACGCATGCGGTTCCACCCCATTTCGGCACAACCCTCGCACGTTTCGTGGCCCCATAGGGAGCTCTGGCGAATGCTCCAGTGGCTGCGTTCGCATGCGGTTCCACCCCCATGTAGGCACACCCTTCAAACGCTTCGTGGCCCCATACGGAGCTCCGCCCAGTAGCTGCGTTCGCATGCGGTTCCACCCCCATTTCGGCACCCCATTTCGGCACACCCCTCACACGTTTCGTGGCCTCATCGGGAGCTCCGCCGAAGGCCCCAGTGGCTCTATTCGCATACGGTTCCACCCCCATTTCGGCACACCCCTCACACGTTTCGGGGCTTCCGCTCCCATTTCGGCCCACCCCTCACACGTCTCACGGCCCCATCGGGAGCTCCGCCGAAGGCCCCAGTGGCTCCATTCGCATGCGGTTCCACTCCCATTTCGGCATACCCCTCACACGCTTCGTGGTCACAGAGGGAGCTCCGCCGAAGGCCCCAGTGGCTGCGTTCGCATGCGGTTCCATATCGGCACACCCGTCGCACGTCTCGTGGACCCGTAAGGAGCTCCACCGAAGGCCCCAGCGGCAGCATTCGAATGCGGACACAACCACAACTGCGGAATTCACAACTGCATATGGTTGGGTCCTTCGCAAGGATAATTTCCTCCTCCTCCTCCTCAGCTTTGCGTTGAGCGGACCCCATGATCTGAGATTGCAGCGGTCAACTCCTCCTCCTCCTCCTCCTCCTCGCCCTCCTCCTCTTCCTCCTCCTCCTCCTCCTCCTCCTCCTCGTCCCCCTCCTCCTTCCTCCTCCTCCTCCTCCTCGTCGTCCTCCTCCTCGTCCCCCCTCTTCCTTCCTCCTCCTCCTCCTCCTCCTCCTCCTCGTCCTCCTCCTCCTCCTCCTCCTCCTCCTCCTCGTCCTCCTCCTCGTCCCCCTCCTCCGCGTCCCCCTCCTCCAGGCGGCGCGCGGGGCGCGGGGCGCTCGGGGCCTTCTCCGTCAGCGTCGGCAGGTCCTGCGCCAGGGGGCGGAGCCGCCGACGGGCGGGCCGGCCCGGCGACGTCTCGCGATGCGGCAAGCGAGCCGCCCCGCGCTCGCTTGGGGGGTCCCAAAACGGTGCAATGGCAGGTCCCTCCTCCCTCCTCCTCCTCCTCCCTCCTCCTCCTCCTCCTCCTCCTCCTCCTCCTCCTCCTCCGCCTCCTCCTCCGCCTCCTCCTCACAACACGGTCAGTCACAGCGCGGTGACCCAGGAGGCCCCCAGTCGCCAAAGATTGCCTTCGAGAACAGCCCAAGTCTCACGACCGCGTGGTCAGCCCGAATCTCCACGGCCTCACCGGACGGTGTGGTCACGTCGCCGTTTTGGGACTGGAACCGCGCGAGCGCGCGCTTCTTGCGCGCGCGCGTGGCTTCCAGCGCGTTCCAGCCATTAGCAAGTTTCTAGCTGCATGCGTGTCGCCACACTTGGAACAGGAGTTGACGAAGCAGCAAGAATGCGGACCGAACAAAAGCGTACACCCGACAATGGTAAACCCATGGAGTCAGCGCGAAGTAATGCGACCGAAGTATGGAAAATCATGGAGATGATAAGAAATCTGAGGCGTTCCGCATATGTCACTCATTGTGATGAGTCGGAGGTCTGTTTTTTGGAGCTCGCTTGTAGCCGCCTTGAGGTCATCTTGAAGATATCGGGAGCCTCTGGTGCCCTGGTCGCACATCTTGGCAGCCACTTGGGCTGCCAGGCAAGCTGTTGGAGCTTCTGATGCGTCCCGCAGCACGGTCATTCATTTTGGGAGCATGTTTTGACCGTCTGACACCTTAAGCGCTACAGAGAGACACAGAGAGACACAAAGAGACACAGAGAGACACAAAGAGACACAGAGAGACACAGAGAGACACAGATAGACACAGAGAGACACTGAGAGACACAGAGAGACACAGAGAGACACAGAGAGACACAGAGAGACACAGAGAGACACACAGAGACGCAGAGACACACAGGGAGACACAGGGAGACACAGAGAGACACAGAGAGACACAGAGAGACACAGAGACACACAGAGACACACAGAGACACACAGAGAGACACACAGGGACACGGAGACAGACAGAGACAGACAGAGACACACAGAGACACACAGAGACACACAGAGACACACAGAGACACACAGAGACACACAGAGACACACAGAGCACACACGCACACACGCACACACGAACACACGCACACACGCACACACGCACACACGCACACACGCACACACGCACACACGCACACACGCACACACGCACACACGCACACACGCACACACGCACACACGCACACACGCACACACGCACACACGCACACACGCACACACGCACACACGCACACACGCACACACGCACACACGCACACACGCACTCACGCGCACACGCGCACGCGCACACGCGCACACGCGCGCGCCACGCGCCCACGCGCACGCGCACACGCGCACGCGCACGCGACGCACGCGCGCACGCAGCGCGCAGCACGCAAACGCACACGCACACGCACACGCCCGCACACGCACACGCACACGCACACGCACCCACCCACACACACGCGCACGCGCACGCGCACGCGCACGCGCACGCGCGCGCACGCGCACGCGCACGCGCACGCGCACACGCACACGCACACGCACACGCACACGCACACGCACACGCACACGCACACGCACACGCACACGCACACACACACACACTTTTGTCTGCGGGTCGAGAGCGAGCCTCTTCCGGTTAAGACGCACGCACACGCACACACACACGCACGCACACGCGCACGCGCACGCGCACGCGCACGCGCACGCGCACGCGCACGCGCACGCGCACGCGCACGCGCACGCGCACGCGCACGCGCACGCGCACGCGCACGCACACGCACACGCACACGCACACGCACACAGAGCTTCTTGGCCTCCCAACGCATGTTGGAGGGGCCGTCTTGAAGTCACCCTGATCCGTTTCGGACCTGTCTGAGGGTCTCTCGGGAAAAGCTTGAAGCCGTCTTTGGGAGCGTGAGCCAGCTGCGGGACCCCTCAGGCCACCAGAGGCTGCTCTTCTGGCCGCCTCGGCGGTCTCCGAGGCATTTTTAGGGGGCCGTGTTGGGCCCGTCTTTGGCCGCCCCGGGGCCCCCTGGGACGACCTTCACGGTTCCTCTCTTCGGGCCCTCCTCGGGCTCTCTTCGAGCCCCCTTCTGGGGGCCAAGGCGATCGTCTTCGGGCTCCCGAGACCAAAGACGAGCCGGCGAGGCCGGCGAAGCTCACCACAGAGTGCCTGCAAAACAAGCTATCACATACATCACAGGGTTGAGATCGTCAATTGTTGTATTGTGAGGGGGCTCTGAGCCGTTTTTGCCCTCTTCGGGCTCTCTTCGAGCGCCTCGGGGCCCCCCGGGACGACCTTCCCGATCCCCTCCTCGGGCCCTCTTCGGGCGCTCTTCGGGCCCCTCCTGGGCGCGCGATGCAGTAGGAGCTCGACCACAAGAGACCCTCCACATGAAGCCCACCCCTGAGACCCCAGGACGTCCATTGATCTTTGATGTGGGAACGTCACGCCTGCCATAGCAAAACCATCGAAACCCAAGAACCCCAGGTCACCCTGGAGGCGAGCAGGGTGTTTCTTGGGATGGGTTTCTACTGTAATACTTTGGACCCGTGGCGACGCATCATGCTCTGCGTGCCGACGACGATCTGCGTGACGACGCGCGTTGGCACCCCCTTCTGGGGACTTCTGGGCCTCCTCCAGGACGCTCAGGACAGCTCAATGGGGGCACGCATAAGCGACAAGAGGGCCCAGGAGGGCCCAAAGGCAGTTCGAGCATGCCCAACACGGCTCAAGTCGGCTGAAACGACCCCCCAGACGGGCCCAAGAAGCCCGAAGAGGACTGATCAGAGGCCCCCAGGAGATATTCAGTGACTGTATGTCGGTTTCCCATGATTGTGGTATGCTTGCTTTTCCGAGCCTCAGGGGCCGAAGACGGCCCAAGAAGCCCCCAAGATGGCCTCCAGCTGACCCAAAACGTCCTCAAAAGGATTCCAAGAAAATCCCGGAGCAGGGCCAAGTATGTTCGCCGATGGCGCTGGCTACGCACCACGTCGAGAAGGAGGCGCTTGCGCGCGACCTGGGCGGGCAGCTTGCGCGCGAAAGTTCGCGAATGACCGCACCGCTCAATTGTACACCATGACTGGTCCTGGCTTGGCTCATCAAGGGCTCAGCAGAAACATGGCATGAATCGGGTTTCGATGCATAGTAGGCGTCCCAAAACAGGAGCAAAGAGAGCGGGGCACCCCATCCCTCCAATCTCCTGAAATATCCAATGCGTGGCCTTTGGAAACGGAAACCTGGTTTTTAACGAGTAAGCCAGCACAACAACAGGCGCGAAGACACCAACGTCGGGACTGCGAATGCGACCCCCTGTCGACCCATGATCCCCATCCCGGACTGCCACCGACAACACTGCCTCCTTCTCGTCCTCCTCCTCCTCCTGCCCCCTCTTCCTCTGCCTCCCCCTTCCCCTCCTGCAATTCCTCCTCCTCCTCTTCCTTCTCCTCGTCCTCTTGCATGTTGTTTCATATATTATCATCCTCATGTTCGTGCTGATCCGCTTCCGCCTCCCCTCTTCGTCGACACCCTCCTGCTCCTGGCAGGACGGTAGCGCAGAGAAGACGAGCACGACAGATCCTCCTCCCCCTCCTCTTGCTTCCTCACTCTATGCCCTTGCGCAATCACAGACCTGTGCCAGCTGAATCTGCCAGCCTCCACCACACCCCCATCCCACTCGCCCAATCGCCTGCTCCTGAGGACGACCCCGCAAGCCTCCGGACATCCGTGAGGCCCCACAGACTCTGGAGGTATAGCAGAACAAGCAACACCCAACAAACTCGTCACCCTCTTCTCTTACTCCCATCTCCCCCTGCTCCTCATCCTCCTCACCCCTTCTCCCCATCTCTTTCTCAACATTCTCACTTCGCTGGTTCCCCGCGGGGCCTTTGAGACAGTGCCTTTGCCGTTGACAATCTGGATAGCCTGACCCGCGGGGAGAGACTTCGGGGAGTGGGAGGGACTTGGAGGAAGACCCCTCTTCCTGCTGAATCGGCCACCGTGCCGCGGGCACGGAGTGGAGTGCCCTCAAGTCACAACATCTCTTTGGGGCGAACCCAGGTTTCCTAAACTCTTGGGCGGTCCTTGGCGTGATGCGTGGCTTTTCCAAGGCCACGGAAGCGTGGTTCGGGATCCGCACTTCCGACGTGCTTCAAGATGGTCTGGCGGAGCCGTCTTGTGATTCTCCTGGGCGCCGTGGGGGCCGTCTTGCAGGCCCTGAACACTAGGCCACCATCGTTGAGACCAACTCTAACTCGTTTTGACATGGTGAGAACAGCTGATTCGGCTTTTCGGTCTGAAATCAGAGCGTGAATTACCTACCCCGCTTTCGCTTCCAGGCAAAACCAAGCCATACCACGCGCCTCCTCGTCAAGCGGTCTGATCAGTACAGGCTGCAATTCGGCATCGTTTGGTATCTCTTGGAAGCGAGGGTGGTCAAAAGCGAGGTAGGTTTGTTTTCCCCCTAATAAGCATGAAAACTCGGAGGTCCGCTCGGATTTCTCGGATCGGCGCTGGACCCCCCTCCCTGGCGCGCGGAGCGCGCCAGGGGCGGCGCCGGAGGCGCCGCTGGGGGGGTCCAGCGCGGATCCGAGAAATCCGCGCGGACCTCCGAGTTTTTACCTAACAGCGAAGACTGATAGGTTTCTAGTGGTCTCAAAAGAGCTCACAGATCACTCCACAGGGGGGTCCGGGCAGGTGTTGGGGCGTTTCCGGGCGGCATGAGCCGGGCTCGTTTTTCACCAACAGTCACACACTTCGTGCTCTTCGCCTTCCCAGAACTCCATTCCCAGGCCACATTCTGGGGGGCCGGATGCAACTGTAGGCCACTTCGTGCTCTTCGACATCCCAGAACGCCATTCCCGGGCCACATTCTGGGGGGCCGGATGCAACTGTAGGCCACTTCGTGCTCTTCGACATCCCAGAACGCCATTCCCGGGCCACATTTTGGATGCCCGGAGCCAACTGTAGGCCACTTCGTGCTCTTCATTTCCCAGAACTCCATTCCCGGGCCACATTTTGAATGCCCGGAGCCAACTGTAGGCCACTTCGTGCTTTTCTATTTCCCAGAACTCCATTCCCGGGCCACATTTTGAATGCCCGGAGCCAACTGTAGGCCACTTCGTGCTCTTCGAGTTCCCAGAACTCCATTCCCGGGCCACATTTTGAATGCCCGTAGCCAACTGTAGGCAACTTCGTGCTCTTCGACTTCCCAGAACTCCCATTCCTGGGCCACATTTTCAGCAGGGGCAAGAGCACGACGAGGAGGAGGACGAGCAAGACCAGGAGGACGAGGACGAGCAGGAGCAGGACGAGGAGCAGGAGGAGCAGGAGAAGAAGGACGAGCAGGAGGAGGAGGAGGACGAGCAGGAGGAGGAGGACGACCAGGAGGAGGAGGACGACCAGGAAGAGGAGGAGGAGGAGGAGGAGGGGAGGGGGAGGAGTACCAGGAGGAGGAGGAGGAGGAGGAGGAGGAGGAGGAAGAGGAGGAGGAGGAGGAGGAGGACGAGGACGAGGAGGAGGAGGAGGAGGGGGGGGGAGAGTACCAGGAGGAGGAGAACGAGGACCACCAGGAGGAGGAGGAGGAGGAGGAGGAGGAGGAGGAGGAGAGAACACCAGGAGGAGAAGGACGAGCAAGACGAGGAGGACGAGAACGAGGACGACCAGGAAGAGGAGGAGGAGGAGGAGGAGGAGGGGAGGGGGAGGACTACCAGGAGGAGGAGGAGGAGGAGGAGGAGGAGGAGGAGGAAGAGGAGGAGGAGGACGAGGAGGAGGAGGAGGAGGAGGACGAGGAGGAGGAGGGGGGGGGAGAGCACCAGGAGGAGGAGAACGAGGACCACCAGGAGGAGGAGGAGGAGGAGGAGGAGGAGGAGGAGGAGGAGGAGAGAGCACCAGGAGGAGGAGGACGAGCAAGACGAGGAGGACGAGAACGAGGACGAGCAGGAGGAAGAGGAGGAGGAGGAGGAGGAGGAGGAGGAGGAGGAGGAGGAGCAGGAAAAGAGGAGGAGGAGGAGGCAGGCTGAGGCTGAGGCTGTGACTGCGACTGCCGTTGCCGCTGCGACTGTCATCGCGAATGCGACTACGACTGCGAGAACAGCAGAATTCGACAACTGGATTTTCATCTGAATCTTAAGGGGAATGCTTTCAGATATGCTTCTACACATCGCTGTTAGGTTGCTTTGCCGGGATAATTATGTTTATGTCACATTTTGTTCCCCTAGAAGCGTCCCGGCTCGCCTGTAGTCGGGGGCGGACAGACCTCCTATCCTGACGCGTCGATGAAGGAATTGGCCGTGTTTTCCCCCTATGAAAGGCGTCCAGGACGGCGCACGAGGCCACCCCGAAAGAAGCCCCAGGAGGCCCCCGGGACGGCCCTGGCCCAAGAGGCGGAACCCGACCTAACCTTTCGAGCCCTCCCCCACATCTAGGGCTCCCAACTTCGCGCTTCGCGCTGCGCGAAGCGCGAAGCGCGAATAACTTCGCGCCCTCGCGCCGCCCCCCCAAAGGGAGAAAAGGAGGACGAGGAGGAGGGGGAGAAGGAACGAGGACCGCGAAGCGCGAATAACTTCGCGCCCTCGAGGGAGCCCTTGTGCTTGTCCCCGAGGCCGCAAGCGCGACCAGATGAGGTGTCCAAGGGAGAGGCCCGAACACCCGAGAGCAACGTCGGGACGCCGAAAGCCGTGAAACAACTGCGCATGATGTTTCCAAAACTCTGACCGTCTGTGTCCATCTATCCTTCCAGACCTCCAACGTTGTGTTTTTTTGTACAACGTGGAATATCGGAGGTCTCGAGGCGAATGTTCCGGACGACGAGTCGTCTCTTGACGGCCCAGTGCCCAACACTGGGGCCCAGGAGGACGAACATTGGCCAAGACATCTTCCTGAGATGCGAGCATGTCTAGACTGCTCCCCCCTCCCATCTATAGAATCCTCCTAGATGGGGTCCGAGTACATGGGGACGGAGATCGCGCCGCATCGCCGATGCGGCTTGATGTGGAGCCCTACTTTCTCCACGTCGACTTCGTCGATGCATCGCAAACGTCGCCGATGCATCGGCGGTGCATTGGCGACGCAGCGCAATCCTCCGATCCTATCTACTCGGACCCCATCCAAGAGGCCTGGAGCTGAGAAAGACGGCACCACTATCAGTGCCCTGACACAGTGGTGGGGCTGCACGCGCGGCGATGCGGCGCCAGAACGGAAGCGCGCGGTCCAACACCGCCTGGCGCGGCTCGTCTGGCGGCAATGGCTCCGCGAGCCGCTGCAGTGTTGCGTGGCAATCGTGGGCCGCCTGGCGGCGTTATGGCCTCTCCGCCCGAGACGCGTTGTGTGTTGTTCGTGCTGTGATGTGCTGTATTCGTGTTGTCTGTGCTGTGTTGTGGTGTGGTGCGTGTGTTATGTGTGTGTGTGTGTGGGTGTGGGGGGGGATTGTGTGTGCGCGTGCTTGTGTTGCAGAAAATCTGTGCATGCTATGTTCCTCCCGTGTCCTGTGCAGGACCAGCCTTGTGGCCGTGCGGGATCTGCTCTGCATCTGCACTGCGCCGGAGACGCTCCCGCTCCCCGGCTCGGGGAGGTACCGTGGACAGCCCGAAAACAGATGGCCCGCTGGTCGGTGGGTGTCGCTATCCCCCTTGACCGAAGAACCAACCGTCGTGACCTCACACGGGCGCGAGGAGGCTTGCAGCTCCGCAGAATTGGCCGGGGGCGGACGACGACGGCGGCGGCGACGTGGGCGCGGCAACGGCGGCGGCGACGACATCGCCTAGGGACGACGACGACGACGACGACGACGACGACGACGACGACGACGACGACGACGACGACTAGGGACGACGACGACGACGACGACGACTAGGGACGACGACGATGACGACGACGACGACGACGACGACGGCGACGACGACGACGACCGAGAAAGAGGCCAAGACGAAGCCAAAGCACCGTGATGCCCTCGCCCTGCGCCGCCTCGAGCATTGGCCGGAAGCCCTGGCCGCAGCGCGGGCGGGGCGGGCGTCGCAAGCACAGCTCACGCCTGCCTCCTCCCGCCTCCCTCGTTTGCCTCCCGCCTCCCTCTCTCTCATCCCCCCCTCCCTCCCTCCCTCCACCTCCTCCGCCCCTCCTCTTCCCCTTTTTGTTGTCGTCGCGGGAGCAAAAAGTGGCATAAACATAACAACTCGGAGGTCCGCGCGGATTTCTCGGATCGGCGCTGGGGCCCCCCGGACGGCGCCTCCGGCGCCGCCCCCAGGACGGCGCCTCCGGCGCCGCCCCTGGCGCGCTCCTCGCGCCAGCCCCTGCCGCGCCCCGCGCGCCAGGGAGGAGGGTCCAGCGCAGATCCGAGAAATCCGCTCGGACCTCCGATTTGTTGTGTTAATGTCACTTTTTGTTCCCCTACCCTCGCCCCCCGCCCGTCCCCTCCTGCCCCGTTCTCCCTTGATCGTGGGAGGGCTGACGATATCTCTGCGCCACCCGCGCGAGGGCGTTGCTGCTCGTCCAGCGGCTCGAGCGCATGGCCCTCCCCCCCGCTGCGCGTCAGGATGGGGCCGCGGGCTGCGACACACACACACACACACACACACACACACACACACACACACACACACACACACACACAACACACACACACACAACACACACACACACACACACACACACACACACACACACACACACACACACACACACACACACACACACACACACACACACACACACACACACACACACACACACACACACACACACACACACACACACACACACACACACACACACACACACACACACACACACACACACACACAACACACACACACACACACAACACACACACACACACACACACACACACACACACACACACACACACACACACACACACACACACACACACACACACACACACACACACACACACACACACACACACACACACACACACACACACACACACACCACACACACACACACACACACCACACACACACACACACACACACACACACACACACACACACACACACACACACACACACACACACCACACACCACACACGCACACACACACACCACACACACCACACCCACCCACGCACGCACGCACGCACGCATGCACACCCGCACGCACACACACACACACTCACACACACACGCGCGCCATCACCGCGCACGCACGCACGCACGCAGCACGCACGCACGCACACACACACACACATTCACACAGACACAGACACACACATACACACACGCACACGCACGCACGCACGCACGCACACACACACACACACATTCGCAAAGACACAAGCACACACACACACACACGCACACAAACACACATACACACACACGCACGCACGCACGCACGCACGCACGCCACACACACACACATTCACACAGACACAGACACACAGACACAGACACAGACACAGACACACACACACACACGCACACACGCACGCACGCACGCAAGCACGCACGCACGCACACACACACATTCATTCACACAGACACAAACACGCACACACACAGACACACACACACACACGCACGCACGCACGCACGCACGCACGCACGCACGCACGCACGCACGCACGCACGCACGCACACACACACACACACACACACACACACACACACACACACGCACGCAACACACACGCACACACAGACACACACACACAACCACACACACACACGCAACACACACGCACACACAGGCACACAAACACACACAGACGCACACACACAGACACACACACACAGCGAACCTGAGTCACCGACCAGGCCGACGCTCAGCTGCGCCGCAGGACACCCGCAAAATGGGCTGCGAGAGGGGGGGCGAAGCTCGCCTCCCCGATGCGGCCGTTCTGCGCAGCTCGGCGACCCATGCGGAGGCGAGTGGCGCGGCAGCCGAACTGCGGGGGCTGGCCCGCTGAGCTGGCCGAGAGGGTGCTCCCGAGGGGGCGCGGTCGCGCTGGCGCCTGGCGCGCAGTCTGCTGCAGGCGGGACGCGCGTGCCCTTCTGGGAACACAGCCCCCGCGTGGCCCCTCTGGCGCACCACCGGCGCTAGACGCCTTCGGAGTACTTGATGCGGCCGCGCGGGAGGCGCGCGCCTTCGACGGGAGGCCCGCATGGCTTGGCAAGCGAGGGGCGCTTCCGTCAACGCGGTGCGTGGCGCCTGGGAGGGCAGCATGCAGACCCACGAATTGATGCATTTTGCGAGGGTGCCGGCTAGGGCCCGGGTGCGGAGGAAGTGCTAGTGAAGGCAGGATTCGTAAACTCGTCGTTGCGTTCCACAGCCGCAGTGTCGATGTTGCGGTGTTTTCGGAACCGAAGCTGGCCCCTGGTAGCTCGTGGCCCAGTTGGGGGGTGTATGCGTACCTTTGTGAACGGAGCGTGTTCCCAGACACCATCGCCCTGCTTGGCCGTTGAGTAGGGGGTGCAATCTATCTAACTAGATGGGTTTTGGGATGCACGGGCGATCTCACTATCTGGGTAGCCGTCTTCATGGGCGGGGCGGCTCGCAATGAGATCATCGCTGTTTGGCGTTTACGGGCCACACCCCAGTTTGAGTTCTGGCGAACTCGATTGGACGAGCGGCGCGAGTTCCGCGGGCGCCCATAATACCGCGACTGATCGCTCGCATTGGCGGAGGTGGCACTGGGCGGGATTGACGCGCGCCTGGGCGAGAGTTTGGGCCGCGACGCGTGGCAGTGGTAGCACGACGCGCGTGGGTTCGGAGCCGTGGTCCGCAACCCCGCGGGGTGCAAGACGCGCGCATCCGGTTCCATCATCGACACGGCGGCTGCGTCGCCCGAGTAGGTCGCCGCAGTCACCGTGGAGCAGCCTGCAGACGAGGGCCTCCGCGGCGACCATCGGCAGATTGATGCGTCTATTGCAGCTGAAGTGGTGTGCGGGGGGGGGGGGTCGGCGATAGGTTTCGCGGGGTCGGAGGGGCGCTGCTGTGACTGGGGGCAGGCGCGGCTACTCGTGCAACTCGATCCTCGTTTTCTGGTGGGTGGGGCATGCGACTCCATGCGTTCTGAAGTCTTTTGCCGCTGTGCAATCGAGCGACGCTGCCGGGGCACGCGGCAAGGCCTCCTCGAACAAATGATTTAGCGGAGAAACATCATCTGCTCTCTCGCCGGTTATTTTTTCAAGCTCGGCGGTCAAACGCGGCCCGCGCGACCGGCCTCGGGCCGCCGGCGAGGGCAACGACGGGGGCGGCGATGACCATGGGCTTGGGGGCCCAGGGCAGCTGGGGCCGCGGCCGCCGCAGTCGACACGGCCCTGGCCTACCGGAACAGGTGCCGCAAACTTGCGGCGGCGTCGTCGGGCGAGGCTGAGGCCTTCCTGACTCGGAAACTGGAGCCACGCCTGCTGGCACGGCTCAAGTCTCTGGTGAGTGATGCGGGGTGGCCGACGCGCTGGGGGCCATCGCTGCGGCGGGCGGGGGCCGGCGACGCCACCTCCGACCGCGCGGCGGCCGACGACGCCCGTCAGGCACGCCGCAAGGCGCAGGCGGAGGCGGGAAGTTTGGGCATGGAGGGCCCGTTCTTTCCAGCTGACGTCTGCGCGCCTCTCGAGGGGATGAGGGGAAATCGGCGCTCGCTGCGCCTTCCGTGAACGGCCGCCCTCGCAGCGCCCCGGGGCGGGCGGCTCGTCGCCAAGCAGCGGATGCGGGCCTCCAGGTTGCCAGCGCCCTCCTCGCCGATATCCAAGTCGGGCGGCGAGATCTGCAGGGCATGCTCTCGAACGGCCGCTCCTCGCCCGGAGCGCCCGCCTACCGCGCATCCACCCAGAAGCAGTCGATGGCCCTGTCGAGGATGCTGTCGATGACGCCCTGCGCGGTTTTCTCTTCTGCAACTGCCCCCTTGCGCCCGTCCACGCGGCGACGCGTCCTTCGACCGCCTGGTTCCACGGGCTACCGGCGACAGACAAAGACTCATCGTTGAACCCCCCCGTGGCGTGCCAAGGCAAATTCAACTCGATGACCCAGTCAACGACCGCATCCAAAACTGCTGGCTGCATTAACTGCCCATGACATGGGCGCGCCAACCCACGAGACGCCGAGAAGAAGGCGGCCCAACCTACGCCGTGGACCTCAGCTGGTCCAAGGCAGAGCCCCCCTGTAGTTCACTCATGCGACGTGCCCGAGCTCTTCTGCTCAGGCGCCAAGATGAAGGCCGAGCACTTCGGAGTGACGAGGGCCCCCATGCGGAAAAGCCGCCCTCTGCGGCGCTCACTTCAGGTGCACCCACGACGCGCCAGCCCTTGGCCTCCTGGGCCGCTCTCGAGATGTTCAGCCAGTCGGAGGGCTAGCCGTGCTCCTGCAACGCGGCGACATGGATGCTCCCCCTCGCCGATGATGGCCTGGGGCCCCCTTCCCCATGAACTCCAATGGCATGTCCCATGACGTGTCAAGGCTGAACGGCATCGTGGCCAAGCGAAGACGCGCTTTCACTCTTCGCCTCCTCTCCGCGCCCGCGCCCCGCTGCAGCGGCGGCGAGACGGCGCGACGCCCGCCCCCCCACGCTTGGGAGGGCCGCGCAGGTCACAGGGGGGGGGGTCGTTTGCCATGGCCTCCGCCTGCGCGACTGGAGCCCTCTGGGCGCATGTCGGGCCCAGCACCTGCTTCTTGGCCGCGTGCCCCTGCCCGTGCGCGCTCTGGAGGAGCTCGTCGATGAGCTCGTCCTGCTTCCTCCTGGCCTCGTCGCCCAGGTCGTCGCGCGGCGGCGCTGGCTGGTTCGCACCTCCTACTGCGTCGGCTGCAGCGGCCACGACAAGTCTCGCAGGCGTCGCAGGATTCGCCGATGGCACCTCCGGGGCTCGCATCGCGCCCTTGAGCTTCCAGACTAGCTCCTTGAGCACGGTGGCGAAAACATCGGGCACATTGGCGTCGCCAGAGCCGGTCTCAAGCAGCGCCTCCCGCAGTAGCTCCGCGAGCCCTACGACGACGAGCTGTTGCACTGCCGTTGTGCCACAATGCGGCGCCGCCTGCAGTGGCTGTTCCTACTGCGGCTTCTAGGCCAAGGCGGTCCTGTCGGTCCGCAGCTCCTTCTACTCCGCAGCCAGGGTGGTATCCCGCTGCTTGGCGGCCTGAATATGTTCCCCGAGGTTTGGCAGCACCACGTCGCGCTGCCGCTCCAACTTCATACTTAGGGTGGCCGTCTTGTTTCCGAGCTGCTGCAGCTGCTGCGACGCGGGCTTGCCAGCACGCCGCCCTGCCACCAGAGCCGTACGCCCATCGCGCTTGCCCTCGATCTCGGCGTCCACAGAGGGGTCAGCCAGAGATTCCAGGGTGCCGATGATCTTGTAGAGCTTGGCGAAGGCAGTCGACTGCTGGGTGAAGAGGCTGGCGCTTGCGCCGCGTCAGCTCCAAGCAGCGGAGAGTCGCCGCCCGCGGGGCCGCCAGCGCCACGAGCAACGCCGCGAGGGGCGCGAGGGCCGCCGACATCAGGATTGCCCCCCTTGCCGGGCCACGTGGAGGGCGGGGGGGCGCTTGCCTGCTGTGGTGGCGCGCCTGAGGCCGAAACGGCCGTGTCGATGCGGCGCTGCACGTGCTTCTGGGCAGGGGCGAAGCACGACTGACACTGCATTTTCGTTGCGAAATTTGCCCCTGTCCCAAGGCCCCGCAGGTCCACGGGGCATTCTGGCGGAGACTGGAGGTTTCCCACCAACGAGACGGGCGTCGTGGGCCGCATGCGAGCCCTACCCCTGCCCCCCACGACTTCTGAGGGGGGGGTCGGGGTTCACTTCGCTTGGGAGCTCCCGAACGAAGTGAACCCCACCCTCCCCGTCAGGAACCGTGGGGGGTAAGGGTAGGGCTCGCATGTGCCCCCCTAGCTGGGGGGGGCCCATGCAGGGCCCCTAACGGGCGGACATCCCGTGAAAACGCGAGGAAAAGACTGCGCTGGGCGCCCCCGTCGATGTTTGCAGCACAGCGGCGGAAACCACAAACTTGAGCCAAAATGATTACGGTGCCTCCTTCGTCCTCCCCCCCCCTCCCTCCTCGCCCCCCCCTTCCCCCTCAACCCATCCGTCCGCTACCAACATCCAACCCCACACAACTCCCCAAATCCGCACTCGCTTGGAATTCTCGGCCTTGCCCCAGAATTTGTCCGGGTTTGGATTTCGTTGTCCCGGGTTTGGTTTTTAAATGTCCTGGTGTGGTGCGTTTCCAGGTTTGTCCTACTGGGTTATAATTGGGCTGTCTACTCTTGTTCCGTAAATGTCCCGGGTCGCCCTGTCCCTCTGCCCGTCACGTGGCGGCCCTGGGAGGGTAAACCAACAGTCTGATGTTCAATGGGCCGCGTAGCACCAACAAGAACACGCATACGCTCCAGACTGGGCTACGAGCCGTGTGGCAGCGCGGAGGGCAGAAACACAGATTGCGTTCTTTTCTGCTCTAGAATGGAAACACCGCACGGCGACGACGACGAGGACAAGAACGGAGCGGACATGCACATAGAGAAAACAATTCTACATTCAGCACTTCGCACGGCACATGGCTATCGCGCAACGACGACACCACCGACCACGAAGACGACGACGCGACGGCGACAGCGGCGACGACGAAGGCGACCTACGACAACGACGAGTAGATAGACAACGAAGACGACACCGACTACGAGCACACCCGAACGGACGACGGCGACGGCGACAACTAAGCCTACGAACACCACGACCGCGACGTGGACGAGAACGAGGACGACGAAGAGAACGACGACAACAACACCAGCACCGCCCTGCAGTTCCACAACACATTAGTCCGCAGAGAGGCGGGGGTGAGCTTCGGCCCCCAGCCCCGCACCACCGTCTGAAACAACTCAGCACACACAATTTGGAAGGGGGGGCAGTTTAGGAAATCATTGTGCTCGGCGTTCTTTGTCCAGCAACTATCGTCCAGCAAGTTTGGGACACGAAGCCTAGGCTTATCCGCAGCCCCGAAAAAAAGAGGGACAGAACTTCGCCCCCCCCCCCCCCCAGTCCCAGCAACTCCCAGTTTCGCAAAGGGGGGGGAGGGGGTTAGCTTCGGAAGCCCCCCCCCTTCCCCGAAAATTCGGGAAACCCAAAAGGGATGAGAGGGAGAGAACAGCAGAAGCCTCCCCCTCACAACGGGAGAGGGTACTTCCGACCCCCCCTCCCTTTGCAAAGGGCAGCCCGAGACCCCCCCTTCAGTTTCCCAGGTTGCTGAGGGGAGGCGGGGGGTAGCTTCGGAAGCGCCCCCCCCCCCCCCCCTGGCGGAAGGAGGGGGGGCGGCAGCTTGAAGCTGGGCCCCCCCTTTGTTCTTCGTGTCTCCCGCAGCGCGCTGTTTCCTGGCTGTGCTGGCTTGCATGCGATGGCGTCCCACCGCGACTACCTCGTCGTTTACCCGTACCGATCCGCCGATCCGCCTCTCCTTTGCCTTCTCCCTCTCCCCCTTCTCCTACTCGCACAATCGAGGTGCTGCCAGGAGGAACACAACAAAAGGAACGAGGCCCGCTTGTGGCCCCAGAAGCGCCTGGGTGCACGTGGAGGGCCAGAGGAACAGCGAGGGGAGGATCCAAGGATCTGGGCGACAGGATCTGAGGAGCAGCAGAGGATCTGAGGAAGCAGCGGTCCTTAGTCGCGCTCCTCCTGCTCCTCCCTCTGTCCTCCTGCTCCCCCGTCGCTCCTCCATGCGCTCCTCGATCAGATTCCTCATCTCACCTCCCCCCTTCCCCCTTCTTCCCCTTCTCTTCGTCCTCCGACGTCGCTGGCTGCTGCAAAAAAAAAAGACACGCATAAACGAAAGCTCATCCGGTAGACCGAGCTCGCATCC